GATGCCAGGATTATTAATGTAGCAGAACTGCAGGATTTTCCAAGTAATTTCTGAGTTGCCATGGCAGTTCATTAGCTTTCAGCCCAAGGACCCCTTACCATCAAGCATGAATCAAGCGGGAGGCACAGACGCATCCAAACACGCAATGGAAATTCACATCAAAAATACATGCAAGACCATATTTCTTCCATTTTGTCCAACCTATGTCCAATAAAGGCACTAAAAAGTCACCAGTGATCAGAACCAACAGACAACCCACTGAAACATGCCTAGCCACAAAGAAATTCACAATCCCCATTTTTCCTTTCCCTTCCCTTTCCCTTCCCTTTCCCTTCTTTTTCCCTTCCCTTCTTTTTCCTTTCCCTTCCCTTTCCCTTCCCTTCCCTTCCCTTCCCTTCCCTTCCCTCCCCTCCCCTCCTCTCCTCTCCTCTCCTTTCTCTTCTTTTCTTTTCTTCTCATCAGGACATTTCTGACTGATGCCTGTATTTAAAGAACAGCAGAGGGTTTACATTTACAGCCTCTGTTGACTGCACAGGGCAGCAGGTCTGGTGGCCGGGACAGTAGGCACTCAGGATTGCTCCCTTGACTTTCAGTGTGAAGAATAAGGTTTCTCTTCACACACAGACAAAGCCCCTCATCCCCACTCAAGGAAGTATTTGAGAAAATATTTAACTTTCATGATATTTATGTATAGGTCTTAAAATAAAGCACACACTTAAGCACTTCCTTGAATCAAAGTGGCATGACACACATGAGAAAAATTCAACACATTTCAATACATTGCTGCGTTAGGACTTCAACAGAGGCCAAAAAACCACGTCTAGTATACTACAGAAGAAAGAGAGCTAGAGAACTAAAGGGAGTCTTTGAAGGTAGTAAGTGGACAATTAAGAAAAAGCAAAAGGTCAGGAGCACAGTAACTTATATCAGTAAGTACAAAATCACTAGCAAGCTACACACAGATACTACAAATACAATGCTTTATACCAAAGAAAGAGAGACAGACAGGGAGACGGGGGTGGTGGTGGATTGGGGGTAGAAGAGAAAGAAAGAGAGACTTCTATCAAGTCTCTATTGCACTATTTTCCTCAATTGCATTAATGCTCTTTTATTTGCTGTTACCCTCTAAGAGTTTCAGGGTATTTTAAAGAAAAGGCAGAGCTAAAATTTTTATATCCTCCTCTAGTTACAGCTGCCACACTCAGAAAGCAATCTTGCCACGTGTTATGTGCTTTCCCAGAATTAACTTGCCTTTCCCTTTTAAAAAAATAATTAATGTATTTATTAATGCAGTAATGGGACCTACATACTGGAAAATCCCACCTTCCACACCATCCCATTAGCTAAATCTGGCTTTGGGCCAAAATTTACTATTTCAGCTCCTGCCAAGGTTCAGGTTTGGAATGTTTTTAACATTGGAGGATTTTTCATCTGTTTCCTTGGCCGGGCTAATGGGACCCTAATGCACACGAGAGATCGCTATCGCGTCGGGCTGCCGGTTACTTGCTTGTTTCAGTCATCTTGTACATACACGCTAACTTGTAGCACTTCCCTCTCAGCTAAGCAATGCCAACAGGCATTTAACGCAAGATGCAAGGGGATATAATATGATACGGAGAACCGCTGAACTTGAGACACTCCCACTGGCTGGAGTAATTACAACAAATTATTTGAAAAAATACAGCTGAGCAAAAAGTTAAATGACACCTTTACTTAAAACCAGATTCATCAACAAAATTGTGTATGTCTGGCAGGAATTCTCATGTCCAATAAAACATGGAGGCTGGAGGAATGAACCTCCAAGAAATCTGGACGTGGCTTAAAGAAACCAAAGCTGTTGCCTCATCCATTCACTTCTTAGAGACCCGGGGTAGGCTCTGCTCCTGCTGTCAAGCCAGAGAAGAACAGTCTGTACGTGCTGACCTGAGAGATGCTTGCAGATGTTCTCCTGCCAGGGCTGGGAGATAAGTCACCTCATTAGCTCTTCACTTGTCATTGCTCTACACAGCCAACACCAGCATTAATGCCTGTCACAAAGTCCACCTCAGCAAAAGGGCTGTGATTTCTGGGAAGAACCCTTGAGTTTTCAATTAATATTACCTTTTGTCACCTCATAAATTACTCCCTCAACAGATTTTTTTTTCATTAATTGCTATCAGTAAAAGATGTATTTTTCCCTTTCCAGCCCTCCCCATGCTTTAGCACCAAGAGCATAGTTCAGCTGCCCCGTCCCCATAACTACTGAGTTTCTCACATGGGAACATCTGCGTGAAGGCCTTCCTACCCACGCTGCCACGTCCATCAGTATGCTTCCTCTCACCACCTCTTCTGAAGCAGCACAGTGGGGAGGTAACATTGGCCAAGGGCACATCACAGTTTTTCTCACAGGTGAGACCACTGACACAGTCCAAACTGCTGGACCATGGCATGACATGTAGTGATAGGACGAGGGGGAATGGATATAAACTGGAAGAGGGCAAGTTTAGATTAAACATTAGGAAGAAATTTTCCACTTTGAGGGTGGTAAGGCACTGGAACAGGTTGCCCAGAGAAGCTGTTGAGACCCCATCCCTGGAGGTGTTCAAGGCCAGGCTGGATGTGGCCTTGGGCAGCCTGGCCTCATGGGAGGTGTCCCTGCCCAAGGCAGGGGGGTTGGAACTCGATGATCTTCAAGGTCCCTTCCAACCTAAACCATTCTATGATTCTATGACACTTCTGCCACAGCCTAGCAGCCGGGGAGTGACAGAATCATAGAATGGTTTAGGTTGGAAGGGACCTTAAAGATCAGGCTGACTGCACTGCTTGATCTCAGAGAGTGATGAAGTCACCTATTTGCAGCAGCAACAAGAAAGGCTGAAGTGATGCTCAGAGAAACCCGTTTTGTACACTCATCACTTTTCCCAAGCTATGCCAGGGTCAACCTGCATCTTTCACTGCTCTCCAGTGAATAGCAGCAAAACCGCATCCTGCGCTCCAGGGATTAAGTGTTTCCAACTGCAAGAGGTGGGGAACAGGGATACGTATCTAGATACAGGTCACAGGAAAGTTACATTTGTCAGTCAAAGGCTGTCCCCTTTCACTCCCACAGGTTTTGTGAAAGTAGACCACCACACCAGGAGCAATAATGCATGCAGTTTTATGGAAACTTGAAACAAAGAGATATCCAAAAGGAGGTTTTCTACACTGCATTTGTTCTCTAAACCATAATAACATCAAATTGCTTGGGTTTATCATTTCTTTTAAAAGAATGCCAGGATTTACTTCTGTCTGACACGAGCACATGGGACTGGAATTTGATTTCTTGTTTATTTGGTTTTCATATTTTGAACGATTTTGCTGTTTGAGGGGAGAAATATGTGTCTGATGAACACAAAATCCAGCTCAAAGACATGTCTGAGATCATGATTTTGAAAAGAAGCCATGGCCACCTTCAAAGGATGAGGCAGATTTCACCCACTAAAGAGCAAAACGTGCCATTTTGTGCTCTCAAGCATGACTCATTTCCTGATGCAGTTAGGCTATGACTAGGAAAGTTAAAGTCAGATTAAGAGATTATCAATGTCCTTTGTAGTGGACTTTGGGACCAGGACCACAATGCCAGTATAAGGCTGCGGAGGCCTTTGAAGGTGGTATCCTGTTGGAAATACATCATGGGGTTCTGTTTGGTTTGTCCCTGGATTTTTGAGTTATGAAGCTCCAGTTTTGCTGCATCGCTTTGGTTTCCATCAACTCACCACGAGGATAAGCTTCTCTCCAGTCTCTCTACAAGAAAAGTGATACAACAAGACTGCCTTCCTGGTTATGAATTTCACAAAGCTTTGATGGATAGCCTTGCTACTTCTTGCTATATTATTTCAAACAAAAAACAAAGAAACCCAGAGCAAAAAAAAATCAACTTTCCTGCCATGCCTGCCGAGTGAAACAACAGCCAGGCAGGAGCTCAGAGCCTGATGCTCCTGCACTTCTCTCTCTGCTCTTCAAGGTGTTGTACACCAGCCACGCTGCAGCAACTACACAAAACACCATAGTGACTCCATCTCAAAAAACAGCTCTCAGATTCAGCACGGGGCAGCGACACATAGAGATTGACCCACAGATCTCTTCCTGCCTGAGGACACAGCCAGCACCTCCTCCACTACATGCTCAGTCATCTACTCAGCAGATTCAAAACAGAACCAGACTTTCCTCTTCCAGGTGGACGTAGAAAGGAATGGAAAGACACTGAGCTGTTCCTAGCAACAACTATATAAGCAAAACCCTCAAGCAAATATTTTCAAACATATAATCTACAAATGACCAAAATGTCATCACTGGAAGAAGACAGACCTGATGTTGTTTTCATACCACAGAGCTCAGAGAGGAACATTCTTTTCTCTGTTGCAAAACACGATGACTAGTCAAGTAGGAGTACAGTGTCTGCTCAACACTGTGACTTAAGCTCCCAACGGAGAGCTCCAACTGTTTATTTTTCTTTCAAATGACAATATTTTGTTAGGAAAATGTTGCAATGTTCACCTGAAGATTTTGGGAGTGATTTTCTACTAACCCCATGGATGAGTATGGATTGGTGATTGTCTTATTCCATCGTACAAAACAAAATGCAGAACAAAGTAATGAAGCTCCTACTGATAACCACAACTTTGCTGCCGTCAAACGAAACAGCAGGACACTAACATTCAGGATGTAAGCATCCACTGAGTGGGTTGATTTAACTGGCAGATATTCCTGCCTTGCAGAGGCAGTATTGAATGAGTAAACAAAATATCATTTCCACATTTTCTGCTTTTTCTGTCAAGCCAATGAGTAGAAAAAGAGACAGAATTAAACCGCTCAGGTGTTCCACAGAGCTTTCCCTTGTTGACCAAATAAGAATCACCATGAGCCAACTGGAAGTTCAATGGCTTTTTATGTACCATTACAAGTCCTGTCATTCTTACACACCACTGTTCATCAAAAACATACCCCAATGAGAGTTAAAGTAAGAGAATTTCATGGCTCACCACAGGTGTAGATGACATTAAGGTGCTTTCGGATGCCTGGGTAGCAAGGATCTCCAAATTCATAGGTGCTGGCATATATGCTGCAGCTTCTTTTCCCGTGACAGCGCTTGATCATGAGTTGGAGTGCAGAAGCCGACTGACATTCTAAAAGGGAAAAAAAGATACCTATTTGTGAATATTTGTCCATTCATACCAGAATTGCCTAAAAAAAATTACCACATGCAGACTGTGAGAGCATATACATGTGAGCTTTCCATGAGTATTTCAAAATCTTTGTGTCCACATGGGAAGGTATATCTGACTCTCAAATTCCTCTAATAAATTGTAAATTGATGAAAGGAAATTACTAAAATGAATAATAAAGAATCAGAAACCCCCATACATCCATAGAAAGAAGGCTGCAAATAAAAGATGGCTTGTTTTCAAAGGGAAAAGGCTACCCATAATAAAAATAATTCCTTCTCCCTCTGGCATTTATTCTATAAATGTCTGAAAAGACTCTAAGGCAGGTATCAGTGTCTTCATTTTAATGGAGAAACAGAGTCATAGAAAAGTAAAAAGACCAACAGCAATTCAGTGCAGAGCATGGAAAAAGACTCAGATCTCAAGAGTCTCACTCCAATGTATTTATCCAGAACATTGCAAGCTTCCCCATAAACTAAGACACTGTCATAGGAACAGAAAATATGCCAATACTACAGTTAGAATCATAGAATGGTTTGGGTTGGAAGGGACCTTGTAGATCATTTAGTTCCACACACACTCCCCCTGCAGGGACACCTCCCGCTAGACCAGGTTGCTCAAAGCCCCATCCAGCCTGGCCTTGAACACCTCCAGGGATGGAGCTGATTCATATGGAATTCCTGTAGATTTATTTATCTGTCTGATAACGCAGTTGATCACAGTAACATGCAAAGTTATTAGCAAATTCCCACCTCACGGGTGTAAGGGAGATGGACATTGTTATCTTATTTGAGGAAGGGTAAAACTCTGATTCGATTTGGGTGTGTCGATTTTTTCCAGGTTTTGCTTGTTTCATTTTGAGGGAAAGAAAAAAAGATCAGGAGAGTTTGGGTGGGCTTTTTTAGCCTTTTTATGTCCAAGAGAGTTGTCTCAAGTCACCACCTCTGGCTCTCTTCTGCAGACAGAGGTGATCAGTGTCCCTGTATGCTCTTAGAACAGGTTGTATTTCTAAGAAGTCTAATGAGAGTTACTATGAGGTCGAATAATTATAATGTTAATTTCTACCATCTAAGTAGAAATATTCTGTGTTTATTCCATGCAAGTAGAAATGTTTGTCATATCAGGAATTTAGAATATGGAAAGCTCCAAAAGTAAATATTTTCCCAAGTGTTATTTTCTATCAGTTGTTTTGTGCCTGTTTTCTCAGCTAAGGTGAATATGATTTGTACGGACAAGCTCTCAAACTTTTAGGTGCTAGACCGATAATTTGCTTTCACTGTCCAGTCAGGGCCAAGCACAAGGGGAAGCTGACAAGATGACATTTCTTCAACATAAAGCTGTTGCTAAAAGCAACAGGAAAGCTACAGAGAAAGGAATACAAACCCCTTTTGGTCACTAATCAGAAAGCAGGGAACGGGAAAATGAAACCCAAAAGGTATTGAATGCTAGAACCAGCACAACAACAAAAGCCATGAGAGACACAGGAAAGCCAGAGAAAACTACGGCTAGAGGGTAACATGTCTTTTTTTCTCAAACCAAAGGCAACATTTTATTTCACATGCTGCAAATGACAAAAGAACAGGGCCCCTGTGAGCATTTTCATACCGAACCACCCAAACTTCCTTTGGGGATTTTTTGATCCAACGAGCTCCAGAGGTTCCAGTGGAAACATCTGGCATGCAGCAATCCTGTTTTATTGTCTTTTTGTCAAATGTCCAGTTAGAGGCACTCATCAAATCTAAGCACTGCACAGGATTTCATGGGGGCGCCTATTCTTTTCATTTGTTATTGTTCTCACGCAAAACAGACAGCATCCCACGCCTGCCTGCACAGGGACCTCGCCCCCCGGCACAGGAGCACACCACCTCCACAGGAGGGTGGGGAATTACCCATTTCTGGTCCTGTGAGAGACACAAGAAGTCTTTTGCACACATCGTCACCAGCGACGGTCAGACTTTGGAACGCTCCGTATGTAGGAATGAGTGGTAACAAACTACAAACTCTGACCCCACCTTAATAAACTGGACTGACTCTTCATGTGCCAGATCTGTAGATTCAGCACATTGAAAATGTTTCTAGGAGTTCTGCCTGTCATATGCCCTCACACTAACATCACCAGTTTTTCTAGCCATCACCAGACATGTCTTGGTATTGATGACCTCCTTCCTCCTGTGCAGTTCTGGGCGGGCTATGGTCTCCATCCATACTGACTTTAGCAGCAGCATCTGCACCAGGAAACCAAACAGGGTTCAAATCTGGATGCACCATTATCCCCTTTGTTTAAGGTTTGTTTCCCTGTTCCTTAGAATGATTTTGCCCACTAGCATTACCCCAAACAGGTAACATAGTCCAAGATATAACAGGGCTAGTCCCAATCGTCAATTTGCAGAAGGCTTCCCTGGATGTTTTGGATGGAACAGGGAGAAGCAGGAGTACATGGTAGAGGGTTTTGCTGCATGGACATGAGGTCAGCCAGCCACAGAGACAGGCAGCTGGCTCTTTCTCGCTGTATTCAGTACACAGTAGCTGATGTGTAGACAGTAGATGAGCACAATCCTGATGCTACCTTTATCAGGTAGTAGCTGCATCTTTTTTTCCCCAGGAGAGGACAGCCTTGCCCATGCTACCCACTGAAAACAACATGCCATACTGCCTACAGCCAGCGGTGGGACCCTGCTCTAGCGCCTTCCCCAGCCCCGCTACCAATACAGACAGAGCTTGAGTTACAACATCCAAGCAGAGAGCCTCTTCCATGCAGATTCATCTGCCAGAGCAGGTCCTAACACTGCAAACCCTACTTGTATTTTAACAGTGCCCAGGTCCAGCCTATGCTCTTCGGCTGCTTATTTACTGGTAAATGAAAACTGACCCTGGTCCATTCCCTGGCCTTGATGCCGACTGTGGTGGAACAACCCACATTCATGCTATTAAACACTTTTACCCTCCAAAACAGAGTGGTGAAACCCAGTCCCTGTCCTACAACCAACCTCAAACCATCTTCTGGACTGCCTAGGAGAGTGTTAGCTGAGCCAAGGCAACTAACCATGCCATGGACCACTTACACTACAATTTAACACTACAGATCTATATCTAGTATCTGCGCCCACGCCCTGCTGGTTTACTGCTAGTTTACCATGCAAACATGTATACATGTAGCCCTAGATACCCAGCTTCTTCAGGCACAGACCAGGCCTCCATATTCACAAGTATCAGTAGTGAAATCCTCAACTTTCCAATTGCCAGGCTGCTTCAGCTCAACCTGCTCTAGCCAAAATGAGCAGAAAAGCAGAAGAGACTCTCTATGCTTCAATTACAGGTGGGGATGAAATTCCCTAGCATAGAAAGTAAGGCACTGAAATTTTTAAAGCTTCTTTTATGTGGACTTTTTGCAAACTTTGATATTGAAAACATATCCAGGGCAAAACTCACCTGTTGGGACTGCAGCACATAAACCATACAATAATTTAGTTGGAAGCAATACCTGGAGCCTCTCCAGTCCAACCTCCTGCTCAAAGCACAGCCAGCTTTGATGTTACATCAGGTTGCTCAGGAATTTGCCCAGGCGAGTTTTGAAAATCTCCACAGATAAATATTCCCCAGACTCTTTGGGCACCTGTTCCAGGGCTAAACCACTCTCCAGGTGAAGAATTTTTTCCTTGTATCTAATCAGATTTCCATTGCTACAACTTGCGTTCATTGCTTTTGGTGTTTGCTTCATTTTTTTTCTGAGCATTTCTGTAGCGCCATCTAATAAGTAGTAGAACCCTAAGGATAAGATCCCATCCTGACCTTTCTCTTCTTGAGATGGCACAAACTCGGGTTCCTCAGCATTTCCCCATACAGAATCACAGAATCATAGAATCTTCTGAGTTGGAAGGGACCTTTAAGATCACCAAGTCCAACCATATTTGATACACTAGTATGCCACTCTATGAATAATTAAATAAAGAACTTTACTAAATCCACTTTCTTGAATGCACATTCACACCTCATTCTTTCATTCTGTGTCTGAAAATACTTACATTTTAAAATGTTGTCATCTTGTTTATGTTCAACAATGTACTACTACTCAATGCTGTGTGCTCCAGTCCCCCAAGCAGCTTCATGGCCCTTCACTGGACTTGCTCCAATTTTTCAACAACGTATCTCTTTATCTGGGGAACCCCAAACTGGATATTCCAGTACTCCATTTAAGTCGAGTACTGGAATGCCAAATACAGTGAATAAACCCTCTCCTTGACATGCTTACAATATTCTTACTAATAAAGTCCAGGAGCCACTTAGCCACCATTTCCACAAGACCACACTGCTGACTCATGGTCAACTTTTTGTCCCCTGAGACCCATTGATCCTTTTTCTGCAGAGCTGGGTTCTAGCCAGCTGGTCCCTAGCCTTTGCTGTTGCAGAGGGTTATTCAGGTGCAGAACTTGCCTTTGTTGAACTTCATAACGTTTCATAAGGTTTCTCCAGCTCAGAGGTTCCTCAAGGCCCCTACAGCCTGCTGTAACAACTGTCCTGTCCAATTTGGTACCACCTACAAAATCTGTCCCATTATCCAGGTCATTACTGAAGATGTTACACAATATTGATCTCTGACTGCTTGTAAGTGACTGCCAGTTTGACTTCACCATAGCCTTGCAAAGGTTTCTTGTAGTACTCCATTTCCTTGGCACTCGTAGCAAACAGCCACAATTTAGGCAAGTCTATTGTTGCCACTGACCTCCAAAATGCTGATAAGCACCAAAATCTGGTGAATGTAGGAGTGGCAGAAAGTCATCTGAGGTACCCACATTACAATATCCAACTAAACTCTACTGACAACACCAGGCTCCCATATGGTAAACCCAAATACTCTTCTCATTTTCCCATGGTAAGGCCTGAGCCATTCTCTTGGAATCAATCATATTCTTCCAGCTCTGAAATAAAAGCAATGGACTTCATGGACAAAATTTGACAAAGTA